CATTGAAAGATGAACTAAAGAATGTCCTGCTCCACAGGCCTTCCCAGCACAGATCTGTGAAACATACCTGCATGAGATACTGTTATGGGCTCTGGGCCTCCCATTGGATTCATGGGAGGCATTGTTATGAGCTCTAGGTCTTTAGCTGAACTCATGCAGGACATTTCCATGGGATCCAGGCCCTCAGCTAGTTTTCTTGGTCTTAGTGTGTAGACAGATTTCCTGTACTCTTTTGTATATCATTCTTTGGGTGACTATTATGAATAATCTTGTAAAATGTGTGTCCTATATTACATTGTTCCCCTTTCAAAATAAGCCTCAAACCAACATAATGATCAAGTAAGTTTCATCCTAGAGATTCAAGAATTGCTGAACATACATAAGATTATAAATATAATACATCACATCAACAAGAGAATGGGTAAAAACCACATGATCATATCAATAGATGCAGAAAAGCCTGTTGACAAAATCCAAAACCCCTTCATGGTAAAAACCCTGAAGAAAACAGACATAGAAGGACCATACCTGAATATGATAAAGGCTATGACAAATAGCCAGCATCTTACTGAATGGGGAAAACTAAAGGCATTCTCCTAAAATCAGGAGTAAGACAAGGATGTCCACTATCACTTCTGCTGTTCAATATAGTACTTGAAACATTAGCTAGAGCAATTAGGCAAGAGGAAGAAATAAAAAGGATATATACAGAAAGGAAGAACTCAAATTATTACTATTTGCAGATGACATGATACCTTACATGAAAGACCCAAAGAACTCCACCGAAAGACTCTTTCAATTGATAACTAATTTCAACAAAGTAGCAGGATACAAGATCAACACAAAAATCATTAGCATTTGTGCATACCAAAAATGAACTGGTTGTGAAGGAAATTATGAAAACAATACCATTCACAGTTGCTCCAAAAAAAATAAATTATTGAGGAATTAACCTAACTGAACAAGTGAAAGACATCTACAAAGAAAACTACAGTACTCCGAATAAGGAGATGCAAGAGGACTTCAGAAAATGGAAAGATGACCCTTCCTCTGGTTAACCAGAACAAATATTATCAAAGTGGCCATACTTCCAAAATTGGTATATAGATTCAATACATGCTCAATCAAAATACCAACAGCATACTTTACAGATCTAGAGAAAACAATCCTAAAATGTATATGGAACCAGAAGAAACACCAGATAATTCTGGGAAATAAGTAAAAAGAATTCTGGGAAATAAGAGCAAAACAGGTGACACAGCAACACCAGACTTCAAATTATACTACAAAGCAATAACAGTGAACACAGCATGGTACTGGAATAAAAACTGACACTTGGACCAGTGGATCAGAACTGAGGATACAGAAACCTCCCCAGACATATTTAACTACTTGGTCTTTGACAAAGGATCCAAAAACATATATTGGAGGAAAACTGGTTACCTGTTTGTAGAAGAATGAAACTAGACTCATCTCTCACCATATACTCAGTTAAAATAAAACTATAACAAAGATCTAAACATTGAA